GCAAAAGCACTTTATTTGGCCTTCCGGAAGTAGATGCAATTAGGAATCATTGGTTAAGATTTATTTACAACAGAACAAAACAACCCAGATGTTCGAATTTGTGCAAAGCATTTTATGGAATCAGCAATACATTTCTAACATTTATAATGTGTTTAGAAACAATTCTCTCAGTTGCCTTTCCAAGGACTTTAATGTTTGCAATTCTTAATGTAATTATCAACTGGGGAAAGTATGATTTCTAATTAAAATTTTTACCCTATTCACCCGTGGTGTCTTGCCTTTATCAGGCATGCTGTATCTTTAGTTCTGTTCCAAAAATACATATTCACAATCATTGCAGATGAGACCATCATGCAGTGTTAGTGTTTTTCTAGGTCAGCATTAGAGGATCAGGGTTTGAGTGAGATGTTTCAGCACTGCAGGGGGATCCGTGAGGAGAGGAATGTGGCCCTGCTGCTCGACAGGTGCTGGATTCAAAACACACACATGCAGACAGACAAATCACAACACACACACACACACACAATACACCCCGAGGAGAAAACACTCTTTCTTATGTGAACTTTGATGTAAGACATTAGCATTTATTAGAAATGTAGCATTACATCACTTGCTCACCAATGGATCCTCTGCAGTGAATGGGTGCCGTCAGAATGAGAGTCCAAACAGCTGATAAAAACATCACAATAATCCACAAGTAATCCACACCACTCCAGTCTATAATAACACTTCCTCCTGTGAAAAAGTCAATCTCCTGTTGTCTGCTCTCACATCAACATCCACCAATATATTTGTTTAGAACTGTTTTGGGCTGTTTTGGCTTGTAAACGTTTCTTGATGTGTACATATTTCTCTTCTGATTCAGACAAAATGAACTGTAGGAAGCATTATAGTGGATAGTAACGTCTTAATAATGGATTTCTTTACTACAAACACACAACTTATGTCACAAGACATTAATTGATGGACCGGAGTGGTGTGGATTACTTGTGGATGTTTTTATCAGCTGTTTGGACTCTCATTCTAACGGCACCCATTCACTGCAGAAGATCCACTGGTGAACAGGTGATGTAATGCTACATTTCTCCAAATCTGTTCTGATGAAGAAACAAACTCCTCTAAATCTTGGATGGCCTGAGGGTGAGAAAATGTTTCACACATTTTCATTTTTGGGTGAGCTATTCCTTTAATTCTGACATTTTATTGTTGCCAGATGTTAGTGGACCATGTTGATAGTTGATCTACACCTGTGTTTATTCCAACAGGACACCTGTGTGGAAAAAATCACTGCCAGTAAAATGCCTCAGAAAAGCGCTGTTAGTCCTGAGAAAATCTCTAGCAACATATGTTTTGATATTTTATAAGTAATACAATGACATTCTGAATTAAGAGTGGCTTAAGTGTCCAAATACTTTTTGGAGCCACTGCATATTGACATTTCACAGCATAGCAGACGAATCAGCTCTGAGCAGATAAACTGGCGCAGCAGACAGATAGTAAAGAGCCGTGGAGCCATGAGATGAACCCAACGTGTAAGGAGAGAGTGAAAGATTTGCGCTCTAATAATATCCTCCACTGACAGATTAGAGATACAGAGACGCTGTGGGTTAAATAAGAGGGCATATCTCTATTCTGTTATCAATAATCCGTTTGAGGACAACACGATACAAACCCACATTGTAAGGTAAGATGCTTCTACTGATGGGACATCTGCTGATCACAAGAGACATTGAACAAATATATATTTCATGATAAACTAAATGCAAGCGGTCTTCCGTTCATTTTGAGGTACTCTTGTTTTTTTGTTTATTTAGTACATTTCTATATTTAACTTCCAGACACTGTTTTATTGTCTTATTAATGTCTTTTTGAAATAGTGAAAGTCTCATTTTATCAGCGTTCTTCATCCTGACATTCTCATAACTTTCATAATTAATAAAGTCTCTCGTAATGGTCAGGTAATTATATGGGTTATTATGATGCATTAGAGAAATATAATTTAATATAATTAGTAGTTTTATCAATTCAGTTGGTGTAACTCTTCAAGAGGACTACTGTTTATTGTGAATAATTTCTGCAGATAAATTTAATAATCTAATCTAATCTGATATAATATAATATAATAAATTTACCCTACATAGGACAGTTGTTCTGTGTTGATATTTATGAGTAATTGACGGTTTTCTTTCAACCTTAAGCATTTATTTTTTCCAAAATTTACCCTTCACCAAATGCTTTACCTCTTTAGATAACTTTCTCTTTGTGGAACCGGACGGGTCCAAATTCTTGCTCTTGTGTTAATCCAGCTGAGAAAGTAGTAGGATCACTCATGACTTTGTTTGAGGGGTGTTTCGGTCACTGACTAGAGATATGCAGAAAATGTGAGTGGGTCAGAGGAGGTCAGGATGTGGCCGTGATGTATTCCTAAATTCAGTCGGTGGAAATTCAGTGGGAGTTCAATTTGATTTGATGTATCAAATTCATCTAGAAATCACTGAATAAAATGATTTTGCTCTCTTTTAGTTGCCAAGATGCCTGAACAAGGGTAAGTGTGGATCTCTAATACCAACAATAATCTCTGGTATTAAGTTGTCAGTATATACTAATGTACATTTTATGCTGTATTTTCAGGCAAGAGGTAAGTTATGCATTATTTTTTTCTAACAAATCAAATAAAACTTTGATTATTTGATCATCTGTACTACCTGTACTGTGGTATAACTTTCACATCTCTGGCCCAGAGGAAGTCCAAGATCTCAGCCTCAAGAAAGCTTATGCTAAAGGTTGGTTTGCAGCACATATAAATTCAACATTTACATTAATATTTATCATTTCCCCCCCACTCAACAAGCAGCAATATTTGAGATTTAAGATTTTAATACTTGGGAGGTTAGAGGTTTGTTAAAATCACTAATTCATAAGAAGAATAGTTTTTTTTTGAGTCCATAACACATCACTAGATGTCTTAACCAAGATAATGTTGGGACTGTCCCAATTCCACAATTCTAGTCTTAAAAGTAAGTGTGTACCAGGACCGAAAAATGCCAAAGCTCAGTACCCTTAATGAACGCTAAATCCAGAATATCTCAAATATGGCTTCAGAGCAGTATTTGAGGCTAAGCGTATCCCATCATTCATCATATTACTTAATATATTACATATAATCTGGTAGGAAAACACTTGCAACTGATTTGTATCACTTAATTGGAAGCACCACAATTAATAAACAATGTCTTGTGTTACATAGGGATACTAAACAGACATTAAGAAATGTATTTTAAAGTGCAAAGTATTGAAAACCAAAATGTGTAAATAAAGCTCTGTAAAAACTTTACTTGCATTTTTATACAACACTGTAAGTGTGTCCCATCAGGTAATTAAACGTTCTATACACTTGTGGTCCCACTTGAACACTTGGGCTAAATACCCAAAATATGCCACAGAAGTAGACAAGTTGTCAAAAGCAAAGACCACGGATTGGGTATTGGGACAGTCACAGGCCCATTGACATTTATATGTGTGTGGTTTCAGAGTTTGATGGTGGCCAAGGCCAAAGAGGAGCTGGATCAGGAGATGTTGGATAAAGAGGAGGAGAAGCAGAGGTATCTGCTGGAGAAAATTCCTCCTCTGCAGACACAGGGCATGTCATTCGCTGAGCTTCAGGTAACCGTGCTAAATAAAGTCCCCCTCCAAACTTACAGTTTTGCTCATTTGGTGCCACACAAAAATCCTCACGACTTGAAATCTAATGGTACAATCACTGCTGCTTGTGCTACTGCAACCATTGCTTATTTGCATATTAGCTTTCATAAGGCTGATGCAAATGTCTTGCCCAATGCCTATCTTAATTTGACTAATTGCAATGTAAATAGCCAACCATGGACATTATTATGAGATGTATGTTTGAGTGAAACGATAAGTAGGAAAATTGCCATTTGATATTTGGTTTCTTATAACAAAAGACCTTTTTGGTTGAGCTTTTATGTTGTTAGTCGGCACCCTGTGTAATATAACACGCATTCACATAAAAAAGGATTCCTGAAATTCAGTTAACATTTCTGTCTCTTTTAGGAACTCTGTCAAGAGCTTCATGCTATGGATAAAGAGGAGGAGAAGCAGAGGTATCTGCTGGAGAAAATTCCTCCTCTGCAGACACAGGGCATGTCATTCGCTGAGCTTCAGGTAACCGTGCTAAATAAAGTCCCCCTCCAAACTTACAGTTTTGCTCATTTGGTGCCACACAAAAATCCTCACGACTTGAAATCTAATGGTACAATCACTGCTGCTTGTGCTACTGCAACCATTGCTTATTTGCATATTAGCTTTCATAAGGCTGATGCAAATGTCTTGCCCAATGCCTATCTTAATTTGACTAATTGCAATGTAAATAGCCAACCATGGACATTATTATGAGATGTATGTTTGAGTGAAACGATAAGTAGGAAAATTGCCATTTGATATTTGGTTTCTTATAACAAAAGACCTTTTTGGTTGAGCTTTTATGTTGTTAGTCGGCACCCTGTGTAATATAACACGCATTCACATAAAAAAGGATTCCTGAAATTCAGTTAACATTTCTGTCTCTTTTAGGAACTCTGTCAAGAGCTTCATGCTAAGATTGATGTGGTGGATGAGGAGCGCTATGATATTGAAGCCAAAGTCTTACTGAATAAGCGTGAGGTATGAAAACCACATAAGCCATAGTTTAATAACCAGCTGGACAATGTCACAAGTTACTGTCTCCATCTGCTCTATTTGTAGGCTTCTAATATTAGTGTGCAATTCTTTGTGATTGTGATTTCATGAAAAGGTGGTAGAAATTTTGGTAGATGTTTTTTTTTACATAGGTATGGGCTATGAGCTGCCTTGCTGGCTACTCCCTACATAGGCCTAGTCAATTGCCTTCTAAGGGAAGATAGGAACTGAAATGGAATCTAATTAGCTACAATGTAAATAGACTACAACTGTGTCGTACAAAAAGTGCTACTCATGGGAATCAACTCCCAATTGATTCCAGTACAGTTTGGCATTAGCATGTTGCTAAGCTAAGAACATGGGACTCTAATCAGCATAAAAATTACATCAAAGTACACACAAACATTTGCTAAAATAGTACATTGTAATTAGTATTAAATATATTTAGATATACTGTTCACTTCTGAAAGAATTTTGTTTATAATTGACATTTCTCTTGCTTCGCTTGCTATCTTGCATGGATTTTTACATTGCAGTGCATTATGGGATTGCCTTCTCCACAACAAATACGTGAGCTGCGTCTGAAATCACACACTGTCTGAGTACTACAGTGCTGCAGTACAGTATGAATGTGTGTAGTATGAATTTAATCCGGACATACTACATCATGCTGTCACTAGCTGTTTCCATCCAAAGTTGCACATTTAAATTATGCGCAAAATTGGAATATCGCATAAAACATTTGCACGTAAATCACCGTTTCCATCCAGCGAGATGAAGAGAACAAAATTGTCACTTCCTGATAAACTGGTGCCAAATATCAGTAAAAAAAAAACTTTAATTCTTAGTATGAGAAGCCACTGCGGGTCTTAATCATATAATAGCAATTTATTCGGTAAATGTGTTTCCATCGTGGTTTATGCATGTTTTATTATCGGATAAAAAATTGATCCGACTCAGTTGAGTGCATACGTTTTTTATGCATATTTTTTAGACTCAATGCGTATCTTGGCATTTCCATTCAGCATTTGCACCAAAATGCACATAAAATCGTTTTTTTGTCTACTGTTTTATGAATAAGAATTCGGAAATACTATTCAATTCAAAAAAGGTAGCAATGCTACCTTTGAACCTGTGAAAGTATAATTATGCTATCTATGTAGTGAGCTCACTAGCTTTTGGAACAAAGCCTTAGTGTGTATATATGCATATATATATATCTAATAAGCAACTAAACAAATGACCGTCCATCCTCTAGGTCAAAGACCTGAACATTAAAGTTCTGGACCTGAGGGGGAAGTTCAAGCGGCCCACCCTGAGGAGGGTGAGGGTTTCAGCAGACGCCATCCTCCGATCTCTCCTAGGCTCAAAGCACAAAGTCTCAATGGACCTACGAGCCAACCTCAAATCTGTAAAGAAAGAGGATACTGAGAAGGTATGACGTCATCTGAACATGTGAAGTTATTTGACCAAGCCATTCAAGCCATGTCAAATGGGTATATCGATACGAATCAAACCTTATAAAACAAACCTATACACAAGTAGAAACATCATGGAATGTTCCATGTAAGATAATGGGAGAAAACTGTTAATCCTTCAAGGTTACGCCAGTGAAAACATTACTAACCTTCTAACCTTCTATCTGGACTGGCACTTGGACAAGTTGTGGATCGAGCAATAGGCAATGAAAAGAAACAATGTACCCTGACTATTCAGAGCTTAACAGAGCTCAGACAGAAGGTTGACATCACCAGAAGCAGCTGTTTGAAAGGCAGAGGCTCATGAGATATGAAGCGGAGGAGTAAAAGGCAATGATTTTAGAGCGCAAACAGTGACAATGTTCAATCTTTTCAGCGTTTGTCTTGAATATAATGCAGGTTGGGTGTTGTATGACAGACACGAGAGTGGACAACAGAAGTATGGTACACTAGAAGAAAAGCTTTTGTGTGGATGTGTAGTTGACTTCAGTGGAAATAACCTTTTTTTAATTGTATTTATTTGATCAGAGAGATGAAACGCAACACAAGAGACAAACTCTTCAATAGTGTAGTGAAACCAGCAAATTAAATGGCTGTTCAATTGAATGTCTTTGAACTGCATCAGTCGCATGCCGTCGATTACCCAGCAGTGGACAGTATTTTTACATTTTTTCAAGAATCTGTACTTTTTCTTTTACTTGTCTCCATTCTGAAGCATAATATTGAACCGTTTACTTCATTAAAAAAAACATATTATTCCTCGTTATTTCAAACTTTAGAGTTCAGCTCCTGCTTCAACACATCATAAAGATGTCTGATTTGTGAACGAGCTGATTCTTTTCAATGAACATATTGAATGAGTTTGCAAATCGCACTGAATGATTCATTCGCGAATAGCCTAAACCAGTTATCGGAGCTGTTCACATGCCAACAAACAACTTATTGATTCAATGATCTGGTCAGACAAGTATCCAGATAAAGTCGGCATGAAATCAAAAGCAAAACTTGCGTTCATCTGCATTCATTTGAGTGCCACGCCCACATCTCAACATCCAATCAACTACTACCATAGAACCAAGTCCCAGCCCTACATTTGTTCTTTTTCGATAATCCATTACATTCGAATTTCCATCACAATATGTTCACATCTGTCGCTACTTCTGTTTCATTGCGACTTTCTTTGCAACTAACAATCCACTGAATTGTTCATGTCTGACTCAAAATGTGCCAAGATCAGCGAGATCCTCAGAACTTCAGAAACTTGCAAGCAAACGACTCATTTCTTACTAATTTCGAATATTACTATTAAAAACTTTCAATCATTTAATCAGAATACATGGCTACTTTTGAATGACCAGAAATATGCTTTTTAGAACTATACAGTGTATTTACAACATCTACCAGCAGGGGCTAGTCATCTTGCTAACCAGCTTGCTATTGCTACACTAAAGCGTGTTATTTTACACATGCATCTGCTTACATATGCGATTGCTAGTTTCTGCTTCTTCTTCACTGTGTTTTGATCCAGAGATTCAGTACTCCTTCAGAGGATGTGTAATAGCGCCCCCTACCGTCTCGTAAATGACGGAAAATTCCATCAATGGCGGGGAAGTCTTTAAAAAAAAAACCCATTTTCCTTTTAAATCTTTCATTCAAGTGGAATCACCCAAAAGGCTAAACCCAAATTCATTATAGTGATATTCAATGGAATTCTATAATTTGCTGATCATATAATCATGTTTAAAAACAGCTAGTTAGTAGTAACCCTTCTGTTTCTTTCTGCAGAAGAGGCCAGTTGAGGACAGTGACTGGAGGAAGAACGTGGAGGCCATGTCTGGTATGGAGGGAAGAAAGAAGATGTTTGATGCTGCAAAAGGCCCCGCCCAGTGAAACCTTGTCTAGTAAAGTTAACACACAAGATTATGCAACTTATTGTTTGGCAACTAAAAAGGATTAGGTTTAGAGCTACATACTAACTATACTATTAAATACCAGATATACTGTTATTTCAGATGTCGCTGATATTGTAATTCATTGCAACTGCTCAGCATTGGTGCAAATGGCCAATAAGTAAATAATTACTAGCTTAGTTTATCTTTTATTATGTCAATATTCAGTTATTAGGAAGAGTCAATGGAAGGTGTACCAGTGCATTATTAGGATAAACAATGAGAAATATTTGTTGATGTACAAGGCTCATTATATATGTTTAATCTTTCCAAAAGATTCCCATGCTCAGTTTGGCATGTTTTTCTGATAGTCTGGCTGCGAATTATTGTTTACGAAAGCTTATAATCCTGATTTGCAGTGCTGAAATTAAACACATAAAATAAAAAGCACAAAAAGCTAATCCAAATTGTATGTAGGTATGTAATTGTACTTGCAAAAAAAGTGTATACTAACACAGCCAGGATAGTGTGATAATGTCGTTTTGCATGCTATATAACAGTAAAGTAGCTGAAGAATTTAAACAGATGCGCAGTGTTTCTTTGTTTAGTCTAATTTGATGCAAATGTTTAAAATGCTATTGAATAGGATCCTGCAGGAGATAGGGAGCTCGTTCAGGAAGTGAAGCGTTAACTATGAAGGCTGTCATTTGAAGACAGTGGACTCCAACCCTTATTTGCATAGTGGATATCTCTGTCTTCCCTGTGTTGGCATTGGGTGGGGTGTTCAGGCCACTTATGCATGCTGTACTTATTTAATGTTTAACAGTCAAAGTTTATTGTGATGCTCCTTACTTGGAATGCTTTTTCTCTCTACTTGCATGAGTGAATATAGAGGCAATTGTAAACTAAACAATATAGCGGAAGCATGTCACCAGATTTGTCATTCCAGTGCAGCTGCCTATTATTTCCTTTAAGACCAAACCCTATGGTATACTGGATAGGCTACTATGGCTTTCATATTGCTCCGGCCAAAGTACAGCAGGTCTAGCTGTCTCTTATAGGTGTGGCACAGGGAATAAAGCAAACACCCCCAGCCTTTGAGCTTCAATGGATTCTGAACTGTAGAGCAAATGCCACTGTGAATAATGACATAAAGTGATGCCCTATATGCTTGACTTCATGTAAAATGTTGTATTCACGTAAGAGAAGGTTTCAAAATGTAACATTGTTTTGAAACCCAGTACATTTAAGAAATACTATGAAACAATGCAACCAAACTAAATTCAAGAATGAGTTGACAACATGAAAAAAATTAAATGTTCCTATTACAAACTGTATTACAAGGATGTCATTGATTTATAGTAGGAATGGTCTTTGTTTTGTTGAGTCACTCATGTGACAAACTTGATGATGAAAAACAAAGTATATGTAATGTTAAAGGTAAAATGTTATGTTTTTGTATTTTTTTTTAATATATTTTTTAAGTATTCTAAAATACTTAAGGCAAATAACAATGTAATGTAATGTAACAAATATATTTTAGTTATTATTTTGATGAAATATTCGGCTTCTAGCTTTCTGACATTTCATAACTAAAACCATTATGTTTATATTGATAAGTATATGTAATGTAAAATGTCAATATATTTTAGTTTATATTATATATTTTTGGCCATTTATACCATTGCTTCTAGCTTTTTTACATTTTATTTAACTAAAACAATATAAGTTTTGAGTTTTCTCTTGGGTTACAAGTCATATTTTAGTTATTTAGTTCAAATATTCTAAAAAATATAAGGAAGATAATAATATTTCAATATATTTTAGTTATAACATATATTTTTGGCCATTTATTATATTGCTTCTAGCTTTTTGACACGTCACATAACTAAAACAACATATCTTTTGAGGTTTCTTTCTTAAGTAGGCTAGCTATAGTTTGTTTACTTATTCTATATCTTATTCAAATACATGTTGTATCCAGACTGAAGATGTCTGATGCGAGCGCCGCGTGATGGTGGTGGCCACGTGACGCGGCTCTGGTGAAGGTGCGGGGTAAAGGTGGCTCAGTCACAGACACCGCGAAGAGCGCGACACTTCACACTCTTACTCCAACCGACTTCAACACAACAACACAAAAATAATGTCTATTAGCCGGAAAAACTGGTCTGCTTTGTCAACGTAAGTAGATTGAAATATACATTTAGCGTGTATTCTGTTTGGTCTGAACGGTTTTTGCGGTTTCTGACAGGTTGCAGATGCTGAGGTGTCAGTGTTTATACTGATGTTATGAATGCTTGTGCTATGGACATTTGCATTTAGAAGTATCAGAAATATAAGTGGAATGCAGTTATTTTTAGGGTTTCTACTTTTTTATTTCTTCGCTCTAAATGTTGTAAATGAAAATAATAATTAAAAAAAACAAAAACAAAATCAAACCTTAAGATTTTGAAATAAGCAAAAAAGCCAAAAGGGCACTTAAGTTTTACAAATGTAGCACCCAGGGCAACACTTCCAATATAATATTCAAAATTTACAATCGTCATCATGTGCATTTTGGATGACAACTTTATGACTGAGATAAAAACTGAAAATGCAGTTGGAGTTTGTGCTGCAGGTTGTGATTATTTTGACAGTCTATGCACTCATATGGAAAGTAATGTCATGCTTTCAGACTGAAGGCATTGAGTATCCTTTAACCAAAACAGAGCTTGACAAACCAGTTATTGCACAATGAAACACTGTTTTCAACCTGAAATACAATAGTCCACCTCTGGGATATATCATCGAGACCTTTGATCGTAATGCATCTTCTCATACTTTCAGAAGGACTGACAGGATGGATTTCAGTAGTCAGCAGCTCAGCACGTCCCTGCCATTTCTTTCCTTTTGCCTCCATGTGAATAGAGCTTTAAATCAGTTCAATGAAAAGTTTGAATTAAATGCTTTTATAATGTTTCACTGAAATCGAAAGTGGTTGGAGCCAAACGTTCCAATGTTTTTAAAGGGGTCATATGATGCTTTTTTAAAGATCATTATTTGACGTCATGGCTGTCGCCGGCCAACGAGTTGGTGTTTTTTCAATGTATGCTTCAGACACGGGTCACGACGAGGCGTTCCCCATAGCGACCCCTAGAGGACGCAGTTCGAAGTTCCCATGAAAGGGAACTATATTTTGGGGATGCAGTAGTATAAGACAATCTAGCTTAGTTTCTACGTATCGTTTAGCATCAATGTTCACAGAAAAGTGGAATGCTGAAAACCGTACGTTTATATGCGTTTTAAATGTGTGATGTGTTTGATCTTCAGGCTGGCTCGACAGTGGACTGTGGAGGATGAGGAAGAGGTGGAGAGAGAGAAGAGGAGGAAGACAAGGGAGTCTACAGCAGACACGGATGAAAGTCCCACTGAAGAGACCAAACCACAAACCAGTAGGTGCGAGATCAAAAAAGGACATAATTACAGAGAAAACCCAACTTTAGACAACATTAATGGTGTATTTATGCTCTCTCTTTCCACTTCAAATTGCTTGAGAGCTGTAATTGGCTTGAGGCTCGAGTGATATATATCAAATTTATGCAAATTTTGTGTTAAATATTTGCATGAAGCAATTGACCTTACAGAACATAAGGATGAGCGCTTCAGAGAGATTTAGATAAAGGTTTATGGTATCATAAAAGCGAATATGAATAGGATCTACATGTAATGTTGTAATTTGGTCTAATAATACCATATGTGGACACTGCCCATGTTTATCAAGAAAAGCAGTTTGCCCCAAAATAAGTCTTGTCTGATTAACAAGTTAAGTTTACAAGTATAGTTTCATCTGATGTTCCAAAATGTCTCCCAGTGGCAGAAATGGGTGATGAATCTATCAAAGTACAAAGTACTTTAAAAGTACAGAGACAATGGAATTCTGACCCCCATGGAGGGGCACAGAAAAAAAAGATCATGTCAGTTTAGTAGCACTGTCATCTCTGTGTAAAAAAACAGTCTGCATAGTACCTTGTGAAATAATTTGTATTGAATGTGCACTTGTAGCGTACTTCAAATCTTAAAAGTATATCATCATTACAAATATATTTAAATGATTCAATAGAAATGGCATTAAAGTATGTTTTATTTTACCATCAGTGCTTGTCAGTACATTCAGCAGTACACTTAAACCATATTTCAAAGAAAACAGAATTATGAAATTACATATAAAGATGTACTAAAGTGGTTCAAAAACAGCACTCTGAAGTTGCATTTAATATACTGTACATTTAAACTATAATACATTTTCATTTAATTTAAATTAACATGCAAGTGTTAATAAAACAATGCATTCAGTTTACACATATTCTTTTAAAGTGTATTATTTCTCTAATAAGTCGTCTTTTTAAACATATGAAAGGGAAGTTGTGGCCTAATGGTTAGAGAGTCGGACTCATAACCCAAAGGTTGCGGGGTTTGAGTCTCGTACCGGCAGGGATTGTAGGTGGGGGGAGTGAATGTACAGCGCTCTCTCCCACCTTCAATACCATGACTGAGACCCCCAACTGCTGCCCACTGCTCCGGGTGTGTGTTCACGGTGTGCGTGTTCACTGCTGTGTGTGTGCACTTTGGATGGGATAAATGCAGAGCACTAATTCCGAGTATGGGTCACCATACTTGGCCACATGTCACGTCACTTTAATATGCTGAAGGTTTTAACCCCTTAAAGTCTTAAACCCCATATGAATGCATGAAAATGAATTTTCAAAAGCCAACATGGCGTCAACACTCTAAACGACGTCTCACTAATATAATGTTTCCAGTGTTAGCGAGCCTGCTGATGCTGGCGACTCCGGTGGCGGTCTGGCCCAACTGCAGCTGGATTTTGTGGAGATGTTGCGAGTCCGTGACGAACGGCGGAGGATGAGGCACGTTGAAACCCTGAGGAAGAATAAGGAGGAAGATGATGGTGGCAGAGAGGGTAGCCCGGATAAGGAGCCCCATGTGGAGCTGCTGGGGGAACAGCAGGACGAGGAGCTCTTCAAGAGCGTGCAGCGCTGCGTGGAGACCTTCATGTCACCAGAACCCCCCGCCAACTCCAGAGACTCAGAGACACAGGAGAAGGTAGGAAGACATGGGTTCTCAATGTACAGTGGTTCTTCTGTGTGATGTGATGCTTTTAGAGGATGTTTGCAGTGAAAGTGTTCTGAGGTCAGTTTGGGATTACTGAAACAGTAGATGTTTTCCACAACCTAGTGAGCTGACAACTTTGAGAGCACTGTCATTGTAAATTCAGACTGATGGCAGACTGATATATTGTCATCAGCCGAAAGCTGTGGCCAATTGGCCAATGAACACTAGATAAGTGGTTCTCAACTGTTTTGACTTCAGTTTCCCGCAGTGTCCACAACAATGTTTCCCAACCGTTTCTGGAAGCACCCCATCACTACACGTTTTCAGACTCGTCCTAATCAAAAGACATCTGAATCAACTTATCAGCTCATTAGTAGAGACTTCAGTACATGAAATAATGGATGGGTCAGATAAGAGAGTCATCCGAATTATGTACTGGTAGGGTGACTCCAGGATATTCGAAAGCCAGACAATCCTAGTTTCGGTAAATTAAATTTAAGGACTCCAGAATTTTAAAGCTGCATGTTCTTTAAGGTTCTCACTCTATTTAACCAATAAATTGACATGCGTATTCCAGTTGATTATGATTTTTACTTAACTTTTATAGTACCCAATAAGATATTTTAGATCTTGGCATAACTAGAAAAACGTATTTTGATTATAAAATTTCCCATGGAGTTTTAGGATTTTATTAATTGACATGACTTTTCCAGGTCTAGAAATCACATTTAATCACATTAGTCATTTATTCAAGTTTTCCACGACTGTGGGAACCCTGGTGGTTCTTACAAGAAAAAAAAATAAAATAAATGTTGATGAGGTTAATTAACATAAGACATATATTGACTTGTAGTTATTTTAACATTTGTCTTATTTCAATTAATTTAAGTTCCCCTTATATCAGTTCCAAAATCTACCAACTGCTTCATCCGCGGACAATAAACAATTATATATATTTTTTCCTTTAAGTAGTAGTAGTAGTTATTATTTATTTTTATTGCCATGTCAGCATCTAAGGCTATCTTCATGGCAAAAACTGAGTTGCAATAATACAAGAGTTACATAAACACAAAATAAAAACCAAGCAAACAGAAACAAAAAACAGCAGTTTAAAATATGCAAGATTTTTTAAATTAACATGATAAAAATTCTAAAATCCTTTCTGAAAAAATCTTACTAAACAAGTCCCTAAGTGAGCGTACTTCTTAAAAAAGAATGCAGAACATGCATAGAGTTGGACATGCATAGAGTTGGATCTTCACCTTTAAGCAAAAAGGCATGGGTCAATATCTTATATGACCTATATACATCTCGTAAACACCACTTGATCAAATCTTGTTTTAAGGGAGAGGAAAAGTCTCTTTGAGATTTCAGGATGGATTTCTTTTTTCTTTGAATAGATATTCAAGAGAAATGATTATATTTAATAAAGTACAGAGTCTAATGGTGTGTTCACACCAGACACGAAGCGAATATGCGCATCGCGTCACTCACTCACTCTCACTCTCACACGCTTGCGTGAGGAACGTGTCATGCGAATTTTCCGCTCGAGTTGAAATTTTTGAACTTGCGCGGAAGACGCGATTGAGGCGAATATCGTGCGTTCGCGGCAAACGCGTCGCGCATTTCGCGTCGCCCGGCGCGAATTCGCCTCTATTCGCGTCGTTGCATTGACTTTGTATGTAATCTACTCGTGCGAATAATTACATTCGCATCTGGTGTGAACACACCATAAGGTAAACTATGTCACCCACTATCTGCATTTGCTGTAATTGTTATGCTTATTATGGTGTGTTCACACCAGACGCGAAGCGAATATGAGCATCGCGTCACTCGCTCTAGATTACTCGCAGGATGTTTTTAGTGTCACTCGCGCGAATAAAAACAGCGCGATCAACCATGATGGAGATAACTACAATCACTGTTTTGTACCTGTTGTCAAAAAGTCCCAAATACAATGGAAAGCCAAACGCCGACGTGTCTGGGTTCACAGCACCATCCAGAGGAGGATGAATAACGTTAGGATCCTGTATTAATGTGTGTGTTATATTTTACTTCTGCATACACTAATATTACTATTATTTTATTGATAGCAGCATCTCTGTAGCCATGCTAATAAAATACAACTACCACTACAACTGATTTGAATTGTTTTCTATTCTCCAGACCTATATAATGGTGCTTTTCCACTGCGTGGTATGACTCGGCTCGGCACGGCTGTCGTTATAGTTGCGCTGCCTCTACTGCTGCGGTAAAAACTTTTTCATTCCGCGTCGCCCCATCAAGCTCTCGCTGGATCCGCTTCTCTGCCATCAATGAGAGGAACGTCTGTATTTCCTCAACAGACAACGAAACTTTTAACAACTTTTTGGTTGTTAAAAAAGGTGCGCTTGTTCAAAACAGTTGCGTATTAAGAACAAAAAAGCTAGAAAGACCTATGAAGCTTTTTGTTACTTTAAATTGTTGTAATTTTACCCCTGGCATGAATCGTTCCACTTTACATATTGTGATTGTTTAGTTGTCTTTGTACTTGCTGCGAGTTGTATATGCTTGTACAAATCTTTGTATAATTTTTGCATAATAAAAAAAAAAAAAACTTGGAACCTCAACCGAGGTGGTACTAAAAAAAGTACCAGGTACCAGGTACTGTACCCAGTGAAAACCCCCCCAAAATTGAACCGTACTAAGCCGTACCGTGCCGTACCATGCAGTGGAAAAGCGCCATAACAGCGGCTACAATAATGCTCTCTTCTATTGTCTGATTCAACTGGACGTGTCAAGAAGCTCTTCACTGATTGGCTTGCGCGAGAATGCATTATGCGAATTTTCCGCTCGAGTTGAAATTTTTGAACTTGCGCGGAAGACTCGATTGAGACGAATATCGCACGTTCGCGGCAAACGCATCACGCATTTCGCGTCATGAATTTGCCTCTATTTGCGTCTTTGCGTTGACTTTGTATGTAATCTACTCACGCGAATAATTACATTTGCGTCTGGTGTGAACACACCATTAGTGTATCACTGTAGGTTTGACATATAAACATCAGACTCTACTAGAATCAACGTACAGTGTCATAAAGCGTTTTAAATCCAGCATTTATGGTTGTACTATTGGGCTTGGTATGGTTTGGCGTTTGTTGGTATAACAAATACTTTGCCATTAAGAGCAATTATGAATAACTTCTTTATATAAACCACTTTAAACCTTTGTATGTTTTGGCATGGCATATTCTTTGCAAAGGTTGTAACCTGAACTGGGATCTTGTTTTTTTTTTGATAGGGTTATGCATCAGTTCTCACAGCAGGGGAACATTAATGTTGCAAATGACATTGTAGCATTACCCATTAGGTGCTATATATAGTAGGACAGTGAGAGTGAAACAGTCTTGTTGTATCGAGTTCACGGTATCAGCGTCTCATTGTGTTTGTCATTCACAGACATGTTCTCGAAGTGAAAATGAACTTGTTGGATGAACTTGTTTTGCAGTGGTTTAATCATAAAATCTCCTCTTTGTTATGTCTGTTGTTTTGTAAGGTGTCAGTTCTGCGCAGTGTAAATCTGACAGGTTTCATCATGTGGCTAGGGGTCAGAGGTCATCTGCTTGCTCTAAGCTGTCTCTCTAGAGTGTGTAATTAATCATCTACAGGAGTAACAGAAAGAGCTGCGGGAGGCCCAGTCTTTCTTACACACACCTACAGGGCCTCCACATGAGAGAACATTAAGTCATTTGACCCACTTCTGAAGTGTGCCGAAGTTTCACTTCTGTGAAAGTTTTAAAAACAAAGATGAATTCTCAGCCAGTACAGCCTGTAACCAAATGCACAGCAATGCTGAAGAACTATTAAAGGACCAAAATAAATGTCTTAAAATGTTTCTTTTAATTAAACCGCAGTATTTCACTGTAATTATGAATCTGTAGTTTGAATTATTTATCTGCTTATGTTTGTTCGAAACAATGTTACCAGCATCTACCAAAACAACCATTTACAGTATGTCAGCCAATAATTCTAAATATGTTATGTGATCTCAAATCAAATGTGCCTGAATTGAAATTCAGATTACGAAATTCTTAAAGATTTTCTCAGAAATTGTTTGGAAATATCTTTGATGTCTATCCATTTTAAGAGTTTCGGTTTGAGGTTGGTGGCATGACCAACATCTTGCATCACAGTAAAAAAGTAATGGTGTACACTACAGTTCAAAGGTTTGAATTTTTATTAATACTTTTATTGAGCAAGGACACAATAACCTGGTCAAAAATGACAGTAAAGACATAATATAGTAATATAATGCTGATTAGGCTGATTTTTCTATTTCAAATAAATGGTGTTCTTTTGAACTTTCCATTCATCAAAGAATTGTTAAAAATATCATTGTTGCAGCAAATTAAAATCAGCATTAGAATGATTTCTGAAGGATCATGTGACACTGAAGACTGGAGTAATGATGCTGAAAATTCAGGAATAAATAACATTTGAGAATATTAAAATAGAAAACAGTTATTTGTTTGCAGAGGCGGACAAAGTACACAACTCCATTAATTAAGTGAAAGTACAGATACTGCTGGTCAAATATCACTCCATTACAAGTAAAAGTTGTAAAGACAGATTTTTACTTAAGTAAAAGTACAGAAGTACTTGCTTTTAAAAGTACTTAAGTACCAAAAGTAAATTTCCTTTTTTATGTCAATGCACTGTTTTATTATTGTTGTATGTAATACTTGCAATACCTCTGAAGCAACTTACAATACATTACACCTACTGAATACACTGACTAGCTTGTAGTATCTTTGGAATAAAGAGCTTTTAGAATGTTAAAAACCTATGGGGAAAACAACAAAACAAACAAAAAAAATAATCATTTACCACCCCTACCCACCCCCACAAAAGCAGGATGGTAGTGATCTCACACAGCTCTGGACACATCTATGTGTAGCCATTCATCCACATTTGAACAGAGTGGACAGTGAAATCCTGTAAATACAGAGTGATAAGGAAGAAAAAAAAATCAAACCTGCTTTAAAACCCAACAACACAACTGTAGCTGTATAACTTTACAACAGCAACACTGCTTTAACAAAAAAGCAAAACAGCAAGACTTATTTGACATCAAAATAAAATTTTTTAAAAATGCTGTCTAATCGCTCTTGCGGTACTTTGATGTCACACACAGAACAGTCTGTGCAGTGCTGCTTCAAGTCCAACACCTATTGTGTTTTATTAGGAGATGCACAACAGTTCTGCTACAGACAAACACCTTTTGTGTTTTATCAGGAGTCGCACAACAGTTCTTCTGTGACTTTATAGGTAATATTTTCACGTACACAATTTAGCAAAATCAGACAATATTGTGTCTAATATAAACCACAATATTAACTTCTTATTATTGAATTGTTGTAAATAAATATCACATTTGGAACTGGTCAGTGCTCAAAAAATGCTGGGAAATCACTTCGTGTAGCCCCAAGAGTGATTACTGATAAACTGTCTAAAAAAAAGACAGTTTTTAGAGAAGAAAAAAATCACCTACTGACTTTCAAAGCTGCTACATAGTAACGACTTTCTACTTCGAGGAACTTGATAGAAATGTAGTGGAGTGAAAAGTACAATATTTGTCTTTCAAATGTAGTGAAGTTAAAGTCATACGTTTCCAGAAAAAATAATACTCAAGTAAAGTACAGATACTCAAAAAGTGTACTTAAGTACAATACTCAAGTAAATGTACTTAGTTACTGTCCGCCTCTGGTTGTTTGTAGAATTTTTTATCAAATAAATGCAGCCTTGGTGAGCATGAGAGACTTTTCAAAAACATTTAAAAAATCTCACTGACCCTAAACTTATCAGAATAAAGTTATTATTTTTGTTGGAAAATCATTGTAGAAGTTTAATATTTAATATATTATTTAGTGATAATATTCAATATATATTGTGTTTGTGTTAATGCCTATTTTTGCATAATCCAATGAATAAAAAAAACTGTACTTGCTGAAAGTTACTTACATTGATTATTTTCTCTTTTCATGTGGAACTTGATGGATGCAAACCAAAAGATAAGATTATATTGAATTAATGATAAGTCTGGCAACAGTGCAAAAACTATTTCCTATTATGTAACAGCTTAATTATAAACAAGCACCAGACAACAGTATAAGGCCGCACATAACTGATGAATTCTCCAGCAGTGAGGCAAAATGCTGTGCACGGCAATCTCAAACAACTCCATTTCCAAAAACAAGACCACATAATAAGTTCTTGTTAATCTTGACACATTTCCATCACAAAGCAATCCTGCCTACAAACCGGTTAACACATTTCCCAGGTTAACACTGCCCAGCTCATTTTCATTTACAGGCTCAATCGCATTTTTTTGTCTTTTTATAGCACGAAAATGGAGGGACGAACCAAGATTCAACAAACTCCCAAACTCCCCCGAAAGCATCCCGAAAGTTTGTGAGGTACTACATTTCTACCTATTCTAAACATTTAACATATAGCTGTTGGGCTCACAGTAGTGTAAACCCAGCTCTTTTATTATTTCCATCACTGGAGACATTCTGATTTGACAATCAGATCTGTTTGCAGTTGCTCACTATGATAATGAAAGCACAATCTTTGCCCTGCTCAAATTATATCGTACTGTTGTTCTCTTTGATCAGCTCTCTCTCCGTCTCCTTTGATAAGAATCCCACATCACCCTCAGCAACCAGCAGACTGGTTTCTCCTCTGAGCCCCAAGTCTCCGCCCCCTCAGTCTCCGAGGGTGGAGTCACCACACAGCCCCGCCCACTCCGGCTCTATGAGCCCCACACCGAATGGAGACACAGCGGTGAGACAGCCAGATTCACACAAACAGCACTGCTGTCTTGTTTAGTACAGTTTCAGTTGCACTTTATTTTACAGTATGTGTACTTACGGTTTACTTACCTAAGAAAGTAGGTAAGTGGGTTAACTATATGAGTTAGGTTTAGGGGTAGGTTCAGGGTTATCTATTACCCAGATTTTGTAATTACTAAAACAAGTACATAGTATGTACAGGCTGAACAGGAGAGTGCGACCATAGTTTCCCTACAAACATTACTATGGTGATACCATGGTACACTGACATATATATGTACCAGTGGCATTTATATAGTACTTTAAAGAATAGTATAATATTGCCTATGTACTAAAGAAGAATGATGTTAGGGCTCCCTCTAGGGGAACATTTATGCTATGACATTTACTGTTATACTTGCGGCCAAAAAAGCAGGAGATTTTCACAGATATGATATATAATAAAGGGGACCATATACACTGAAAAAAAAAATAGGTATAGGATTTAGTTTAACAGTTTTCACTCAAAAATTGCTAGTCAATTTCACAGTTAATTACAAAGAAATTGCACTGGATTATTATGCGAAATTTTGAAGTGGAAACTGAAATAGTATTTTCTTATAAAAAAAAAAAAACTCTAGTAATATTTATCTTATTTACAGTTCCAAAAGACATTTGTTTAAAGTGTAAACTGAAAAAAATGGACTTTGTAATTATTTGTGAAATTTGCCAGCAATTTCTGAGTGAAAGTTTCAATTAAACGGCAAATAACATGAACTGAACATGACATTTTGAAGCAGAAAGACTGAAATAGTACTTTCTTTTAAAACAGGAAGCAATAATCTTTGTTTTATTTACAACTTTGATTTTTTTTTTTTACTGAGAATAGAAATTGAAGTTTGACTTTGTAATTATTTGTGAAATTGTCAGCAATTTCTGAGTGAACGTTTCAAATAAATGACAAATAACACATTGAATTAAACATGAAATTTTGAAGTAGAAAGACTGAAATAGCAATTTCTTGTGAAATATACTCAAATAACCTTTGTTTTATTTACAACTTCCAAATCATTTTTTTTAGAGTGTTTGAAACAATGTGCACCCAGAAATTACTAATAAATCTCACAAATAATTAAAAAGAAACAGTAAGCAACACACTGAATTAAACATGAAATCTTGACTGCAGTTAAAGTATGGTTGTCATTCCTCAAATGGCTCTTTAATTCTGTTATTTACGGGAGTTACAACCACATTCAGCAACTGAATTAACTCCAGAATGATTTGGGTCAATTCTAGAGACCTAAAAAGACTTCATTTATTCACTGATTATACTTGTGTAATTCATTATGCATTCTCTCACAGTTTCACCTCTAACTGCCTTATTTTATTTGCATGTGTGCACAGACGCAGATAAACATCACATTTTTATTTTTGGGTGAACTATCCCTTTAAGTCCTACTTAAATGAGTTTATAAAAAAGCACTCTAAAAGCACAAAAAAAAGCACTCTAAAGTTCAGTTAACTGCATTTATTATAAATTTAACCTGTAATACATTTTCATTTAATTGCAAATGATATGCCATTTAATTTGACTCAACAGTTGTTCACAATTCACTTTTAACAGTGGTCTATGTTCTGCTGATTACAACATTTACAATACATCTTCAAGAAATATTCTCTTTTAGTTTTGCATTTTATGCACAATGAATGACCTAAAGAAAATATGATTATTTTCTGAATATGGTAACTCTATTTTTTCAATTCAATTCAATTCACGTTTATTTGTATAGCGCTTTTCACAGTACAAATCGTTGCAAAGCAGCTTCCCAGAAAATGAAAGTTTCTACATTACATTTAGGAGTAGCTTATCAGTGGTGACTCGGTCAAGGTGATGTCAATACGGAAGAAAAGTACAGTAAAAATCATACAGTTAGTTAATGACATGCTTTCAAGCAAACGGTGAACACTATTAACAGCACTGATTATATGTTGTGATCAAACTTATTATCTTTTACATAATTTATTAATGTTAGATAAATATATCATTGTTCATTGTTAGCAGATACTATTTTTATACAACTTTTTAAACGGTTTATTAAACCTGCGTTCACACGGCAGAGCTCCAGAACGGTGTCCTTCAGGGTAAAGCTCTCATTTGAATATATGGATACACCAGCTAATTAAGTATGAGAGTCAAGATGGTACATAATACAGTGTCAACATTTGCATTTCATGTGGACAGTATGCAGCAGGCCACTATACTGTCAAATTTGCTTGTGTCAATAACCTTGAAGTGATACGTCCTATACAGCTTTCATTATTTATGCCATGTGCTGTCAGGACTCATTTGTTAAATATTTGACTAACACAACACACACACACACAGACAGACTGTACTGCTTTGTGCCTCAGTGTCATTATCCATTTCAGATGATGAAGAAGAAGGAGGAAGAAGACATGCCGTTACAAAGAAGGTACTGATAAACAAACACACAGATAAAAAAAGAAATGTGCATGTGAAATTTTGCTTCGTTTTTTTAAAGTATTACCTTTCGTAAAAAGAAGTGTGCTTAATTGTACTAAATGTGCACTTGTACTTTAAATCTTAGAATATATTTAAATCTTAGAGTATATAGTTTTTTTAAACTGTACTTTCAGATATTATAATATTAATGAAATATGAGGCCACTTAAGTGTATTTAAGTTTACTTTCATGACTGATTCTTAACACACTTAAGTACACTTTTAAAAAGTGCAATTTGTAATAATGTCAAATTAAAAGATTTATATTAAATACAATTTAATACATAATAATTGTTTTAATAATCTTTTGTTGTGCTTTAAGTGCACATGATGTTTTAACACCTGCTCCAAACCATTCCACAACCTCACCCCACAAACAGAAATGCACATACTTTTTAGAGCTGTTCTTATTTTAAGCTTTTTAAAGTTTAATTCTTCTCTCAAATTATACCCACCCTGCCTTTCCATAAACATTTTTAGTAAATTTCCCATAAGTAAAGTATTTCTTGCTTTGAACATGACGTGTGCCGTCTTAAATTTAACCAAATTAATTAACTTCAATATATGTGACTTTAAAAATAAAGAATTTGTCTGTTACAAATGTCCAACGGTATTGAAGATTCTAATTGCTCTCTTTTGTAATATGCATTAGTTTTGTAAGTGTTTCCCCAGATTTACACACAGTAACTCTAATACGGTAATATAAGTTTAATGTACAAAACATGCATTGCTTTATTGTCCAAAATATATCTTGGTTTATTCAGTATTGCTATCTTTGCCAGTTTTGCTTTGACGTGTTTTATGTGCGGTTTCCAGCAGAATTTGTTGTGTAAAATCACACCAAGAAACTTATATTCATATAATCTTTCTATACTTATGTTGTATATACTTGTTAAGTATGTTATACTTGGGGTTAGTTCACCCAAAAATGAAAATTCTGTCATTAATTACTCATTAAACTGTACTTTCAGATATTATAATATTAATGAAATATGAGGCCACTTAAGTGTATTTAAGTTTACTTTCATGACTGATTCTTAACACACTTAAGTACACTTTTAAAAAGTGCAATTTGTAATAATGTCAAATTAAAAGATTTATATTAAATACAATTTAATACATAATAATTGTTTTAATAATCTTTTGTTGTGCTTTAAGTGCACATGTTTTGATGTGTTGACTAACATACTAAAGCACATGTAAAGTACTTTTATAATTTTATAATTATAATTTAAACTGTAGCTTGTTATTCAAGATTACATTTTAAATCTAGTTAATAGCCAAGTTAATATATTTTAAATCTTGGACATTGCAACTTCATCATTACAAATGTGCAATTTTAAATATATTTAAATACATGACAGTCAAGTTTGAATAGAAAATGACATTAAAGTATATTTTAGTTTACCATAAACGCTTGCCAGTATATTTGGCATTACATTTTAAGCTTATTTCAAAAACTGAAATTACTTATAAAAAGAGGGCTCTCAGACCCTCCCATAGACAACAAGGTAACTACCACGTTCAAGGTCCAGAAAAGTACCAAGATGATCGACAGAGTAGTCCGTGTGACATCAGTGGTTCAACTGTAAAGTTCCGAGCTACGAGAATACTTTTTTGCGCAAAGAAAAGAAAAATAATGACTTTATTCACTTAATGACAGAACTTTCATTTTTGGGTGAACTAACCCTTTAAGGTCCCTTCTGTTAACATCCAATCTCATCCACAGTGCAAGTGTGCGGATTGCAGCGAAGACCTTTAAATCCAATAAGGTAAAGCTATCAAAGACAAATCTGCTATAAACCCAAACAGTCCAGTCTCAATCTCACACTGATGAACTCTCAAGCTTACTCTGGATGTTCTGGCCCACAGAGCTCCAACCAAGAGGAGGAGCAGCAGAGCCCATTTCAGAGAAAGTGAGAGTGTTTGTATTACTACATTTAGAGCGAGCTATTAGTTTCTGTTTCAGCAGCAGTAAAATGAGGGTGTGTTGAATTAACTGCTGTCTGTGTTGTTTCACAAGCTCCCGGCAGAGGCTGTCATCTCGCTCCATTCAGGAGAAAATGGGACGACTGGCTCAAGCCTCACAGGTCTGAATTTACACAAAGTTCATCTGAAACGACAAAAACGTTGTCACTTTGTCCCATGATTTTTAAAAATGCATTATAGATAAAAATGCATTTGTTGTTGTTGTTTTTTTGTGAGAACTATGTGTTTGTGAGAACATAAATTGCAGCAGAAAGTCTTAAATTCACAAAGACATGGTATAAAATGTTGCATACACTGTAAAAAAAGAAAAGGAAAGAAAACAAAAGCGGAATATCTTCCTTGGTATTTTTGTTTTGCTTTCTAATAAATGTATCTAAACATTCTTAAATCAAGATACATTTACATAAAGATGCAAATTGAAGATATGAAGTCTTGCTTTCTGAAAAACCGAACAAAAATAAATGAGTTTATGCTGAAAAATAAAAATCTGTCAGTGGGATATTAAAACCTTTTCATTTGAATTAAGTCCATTGGCAGATATTTGTTCTTGTTTTAATCATAACCTCACTTTATTTGGTAATTTTGCATCTCCGGTACATGTATCTTGATTTAAGCTTGTTTGGACATTTGCATTGGAAAACAAGACAAAAAATACAGAGGAAGAACAGAACTTTTTTGCAGTGTGATCAGAAAGTGCAGGTAAATATATTTTCATATTTTTTGGTATTTTTGCGAGCAGAGCAATTAAAGTCAACAGCTTTTTTTCTTTTCTTTTTTTTCTGAGATCTGTTGGATATTGTATTTTCAATTTAGAGAGACCATACTGACATATTCGGTCCAGTTTATTCCTTACATTTTCTTAAAAAGGTCTTTAAAGTCTCACATTTACCTTCATAAAACCTGGAAAAACCCTGAAACTGTTAACAGAAAATTAACCTAGCATAAAAGGTTGCTAGTTTTAAAACACATAAAATGTCTGTTTGCCACTTAAAATTGTTTTGTTTTTGTTCTTTGGTAGATTTGATCACATAAATACAGTTTTTTAAAACTGTATTTAGACGTCCCAAATGTTCTAATATTGTTGCAATCAATAACAAATAAAATAGATAATATAATATTAAGTTTGAATAACATTGAGAAAATTCTGAAAGGCTAAGTACCTTGTTGAAAGCGTTTTAGGCCCATTTTGTGAACAGCACCAGATACTGCTGAATGTAAGAAAAACAAATCCGTGCTTGAGAAATGTATTGCTCTATCCAACTTTTAGAAATGGGAAATATCCAAATCCCCAGTGGTGCACCAGACTGTGTGTTTAGCGGATGAGGTGTCAAGGAAGAGGGAGCTGTTTGAGAAAGAACAGGAGGGATCCGACAGAAGCCATGTGTTCTCCAAACAGGTGAGGACCATTCAGTCTCTGAAAAATGGGTTATTTATTCACTTGTGTGAGCTCATCTGAACTGACCATTCAATCATTTGTTAAGATCGTTTACTTTGTTTCAGGAATTTCGCAGCTTTTCTTCGGGAATCTCTGATCGAATTAATCGCTGGGTTCAGAAGAAAACATTTGCCGTGTCATCATCATCACCATCATCAGCATCATCCTCATCTCATAGTCCTTTGGTAAGGGCTGCATTATGTAGGCATGAGCTTACATTTATCTTTTTGCATTTTTTGCATCACAAGGAAAATATGAGAAGGTACACAATGAAAAACCTTCTCATGATTTCCACTGTTCTTCTCCAGGCTTCGGCTTGATGGCAGTATTTCACTTTGCACTGAGCCTATTTCGTTCCCTCATTTGACCTTGTTAATAATCACACACATATGTGTGGTGTTTGTTGTGAATTTGGAGTAATTATTCACACCAATCAAATGACAGGTTTAAGCCATCATCATTCATGCAGTCTGTGTAACGACACGTTGCCTCCACATGTGCTCAAACAACCTTTTTCATTCCCCCAGACTGATCTTTTTTAAACAAGCAATCATTTACAGAACTATAAAGCACATTTGTATTTTTCACAGTAAACATTATGCTATTAAATTTCATGTAGTATTTTGTTGCTTTCGTGGATGCAGTCAACTACATTTCTCATAAAGAAGCATCCCCAGTTGAAAATAAAAATAACTACTTATATTTTGAATAAACAAAAGAAAGCCTAGTTTAGGAGCATTTATATTTTTGACAGGATTACTATAATGTAAAAATATTTTTGCATTAATTAAATTACACTAGGGAAAAAAAAGGGACAAACCCAGCGGTTGGGTTGTTTTGACCCAGTGGTTGGGTTGTTTTGACCCAGCGTTTGGGTTGTTTTGACCCAGCGGTTGGGTTGTTTTTACCCAGCGGTTGGGTTGTTTTGACCCAGCTGTTGGGTTGTTTTGACCCAGCATTTTTTAGAGTGTATTGAAAAACTTTAAATGTAAGTATCAATAACGTCTCCGCCGCGGTGCGGAGTTCTCTGCGAACTTCCGGGTCGTGACCACCCTCGTGCAAGTCCCTCAGTGCCTTGGCCTGGTGCACTTGCAATCACGCCGTAGCGTGTAAGGCGGAGGCAGCTTCTCCACAGGTCGTATAAGCATTGCTGGCCAGTCGAGTACCTACAGACATTTCTGTTTGTGGTGAAAGTGTGATCAGCGGTCATGAAAATACTGTTGCAATACAAAAAATAAATAAATAAATAAAATAAAAATTTGAAAAGCCCTAAAACAGGTTTCACTTTCTTTATGCAGTATATTAATCCATATTTCTTTCGTTTGTATTTTGAGATGTCCACCCATTCAGATTGCAGTCTAAGTCTGTGGTGCTGATGGCTTGTTGTGTCACATGTAATGTGGAAGCCTCTTGCCAAACTTGACTTGAATGAGTTAAAAGCTTAAAATACATAATACTGATCTCATTTGTTTATGCTCAGGATCTGAGACATGTGAACATCTCCATTAAGAAAAGTTTGTTTGAAAGAGGACAAGACCAGGACCACAAGTGACACTCTCGTGGATAAAGACAAAGTGAGGTGATCGTTTGTGTCTGAATAAAAATAGAGATGAAGAAATGTCTGGCTCATATTTCATCATTAAAAAATGTACAGAAGACATACAAAATTATACAGGAATTTATATTCAAGCATACACGTTTCTCATTATAATAACACAAATTGCATTATTTAATAGTAAAGTTTTATTATTAATCACAGTAATAATTGTAATTAAGATAATTTGTGCGTTTTAATTTGAACAAATCACTGTATCCAGGTTTTTTCTGCATTACAGCTTTAATGAGATTCATAATGCATCTCTGCAGAGTCTGAAGATTTTGAAGGAAGCTTGATCGATTCTTTCAGACAGTCAGTGCCAAGGATTGTCTCTAAACTCCCTTTCCGTCTGCTACTTTACGTTGGCTAATTCCTCAGCACTTTTAAGGTGTAGTACTGATATACATTATTTGGGTATATTCAAGGCTTACGTTATTGGTTGTGAATGTGTGTACTAATGGATTGTAGAATGCAACAGGACTGTATTATAGGGTCTTAACACAGAAACTGAACATCACAGGGTTTATCTGACAGCAGGAATACAAACATACAGCTTCTTTGTGTTGGTGCCAGACACTCCTCTGCCTTGTAGCTTGATATTTGTGCAGTTGATAAGCAAGTTATTAGGAGAAAGAGGCATAATCTGTGACCTCAGCCATAACTCATAACAGTCCAAGGTACAACTGTAATATCATGAATGTCTGTTTCAATGAACCTACTCTAAATAAACTTGATGATTCATTTGTAATGAAGCGGGAATCATGCGCTGAAGCTGACCTATGCTCTCAATGCTGTTGTTTCAACTTGCCGAGACTTAAGTCATAATAAGGAAATGTAATTTAGATGTAATCTAAATGGCAAAATGTGTTCTATCAAGCCCTTTGAAAACTGACTTCAATCCATTCCAACTCAATCAAAGCCTACGTTTTTTTTGTTTAGTTTTTTTTGCTGAACGACCTGTCATGTAATAATCTTTTCTGCCCAGAAGGGTTATGCTGTAGATTAATAAAATTTTTATACCAGTGGTTATGTTGTCTCATGTTTTCAAATGATTGCAGGCTTATGAGGATGTGAATTTGTGAAAATAGGAAATATTACATTTTATAATAACAATAATAATGGTATTATTAATACAATTTTATTTATTTTTATTAATAACAACAACAGTAATTTAATATTACCAACAATACTAATTATAATATTGGTAATGTATTATAATAATATTATCAGTTGTTATGTTGTCTCATGTTTTCAGTAACGACATGCTAAAATAATTTAGTTATATTGGCATTATAATTAAATGTTTTTTTAATTATTTAAAAAAAAGTATTGTTAATATGGTTGTTGTTGTTATGTTGTGTCGTGTTTTAATGAAATGCTAGAAGAAATATTTTTCATGTTATATAAAAAAATCATGTTTAAATGATGGAGGCTTGAAGGTATATGACTATTAAAATAAGAAATATATATGATATTTTTCAAAATAATAACAATTAACAAAAATGTTATCATTAATACTATTTTGTCATTAATAATATTATTATTATTACTATCAAAGGGGTCATATGATGTTGCTAAAAAGAACATTATTTTGTGTATTTGGTGTAATGAAATGTGTTTATGCTGTTTAAGGTTTAAAAAACACATTATTTGCCACATACTGTACATTATTGTTTCTCCTCTATGCCCCGCCTTTCTGAAACGCGTCGATTTTTAGAAAGCTCATCGTTCTGAAAAACGAGGTGTGCTCTGATTGGCCAGCTATCCAGTGCGTTGTGATTGGCCGAATACCTCAAGCTTGTGACGGAAATGTTACGCCCCTTGCCACATTGTGATGCCCTGTCCCTGCGCGACGAGACAAAACTAATAAAACCTATTCACAACCAGCTTGTAACACTCCAAAGAGAAAGGAAAACTTTAACATTAATATTTCCCATTTTTTTGTGTGGATCTTTGAGCTACATATTACATGAATATCAAAGTGTCCCTCTGGAACAACCATCTAGTAACCACCCAAAGCACACTAGCAACAGCATAGAAAACTCCCAACATCTAACAAGGCCTAAATCCTTAAAATAAATAAATAAATAAAAAATGAATCTCTCTCCAACATACTTAGCTTTTCAAACAACATAAGGCCTAAGTTCAAACTAACCTTGAAACTGTTTTAAACCTTCCAACATAGCTTGATCTTGGGTACAAACTAAACTGTACATCTGAGCGTGGTGCGATCTCAGGCTGTTGGCGTGAGGGAGATGTGGAATGGTAAGCATGGTGCCTTGAAGTGAGTCAAACCGTTCAGAGACTAACCAGTCCCACGTGTTATCAGAGGACACCTCTAAGAGACTCGTGTTGATATGGACATTAGCCATCGCCATTCTCTGCACCATAACAATGACAGCGGCCTTTTAGGGAGTGTTTGCACGACTGTTCTCCACTTATCTCTGAGGGTAAAAATAACCACAGTGAGTGAGATGCATGAGCCCCAGCATATGAGATCATATAAGAATCAAGAGGAGAGCCAGAGCTCGCCTCTCGGACAGACAGCCTTCCTTCACACATCTCTGCTGGTATATCAGGTAAGAGTATTATGTGTTATGTAGCATATAACTGATGTATTATGTACAGAAAAATGGATGTATAATAGTACAAAAAGTGCATTTCAAATTAGAATAAAACAACAAAAAAAGAACAGAATTTTTAGAATGTTTAGAAAAACAAAAATGTGTGTTTTTGGATCACTTATGATATTGATTATTCTTTTAAATATATAATTTTTTTAATGTATTTTTTTTACAGAGTAAAAATGTCAGACAACGAAGAAGTGGAGGAATACGAGTAAGTGTTCCAGTTCATTGCTCAATAATCCTCCATCCATCAGTGACAGATTTGTCTCTTACAATATTTCTTTTCTAGTAATATTACGTTTTTTAAATAAGAATACTGTGCATTAACTGTATACTACAGTGCTATAGGTTATTTTAATAGCATCTGCTTGTCATATATCCCACTCATCTGATTTAATCTGAGAGTTCAGGCAGCTGTTGGGAAGGTACTTGAGCTATGAGAACAATGGAAATAACAGCACTATTCTGTCTTGTTCTCTAGGGAGCAGGAGGGTAAGTCTTGTGTTTCATAATATTACTTTCATACTTCCACTGTAAACAAGAAAATACAGTTTTTGCTTTTGAAATAGGTTGTAAATATTGGCCTTGCAGCTACATAGTTTTAGAAAAGTGAAGCTGAATAGGGTTGATATAACAATACTTCAATAAAAACCTTCAAAAATACCAGTTGATCAGGTTTTTGCACTGCATATGTTACACCTTTGCAGATTAAAACAAAAATCATAAATATTCTGACATGTAAGTGCGGTCGGAAGATATGGTGACCCGTCACATAGATTTATGAGCGTGCAAGCAGAGTTTTTCTTGTGAGTTGCAGCAGTATTCTGCTAGTACGCTTTCAACAAAACACACCCAAAAATGACACATATGGAATAGAGCAGAGAGTTCTGAAGCATCTGCATATCATCACTAATCCATTACTGTCTTTCAGTGTGAACAGACCTCCTAGCTTCCATCTTTGTGACGTGTTTTTGTTTGTTTACTCACCTAACCTGCATGGTGTGGCTTAGAGGAGCAGGAGGAGGAGCAGGAGGAGGAACAGGAGGAGGAGCAGGAGGAGGAACAGGAGGAGGTACAGGAGGAGGTGCAGCATGAGGAAGGTAGTTATCTGCTAAAGGCAAAGGCACAAGCCATTCACTAACACTAAAAAATACTATGGTAGCATGGTTATACCATATTTTTGGATATGTACCATGGCATTCTGTGAGTAAATAACATGATACATGAAAATGGAAATCATCGCAAGGTATATTTAAACAAATTTTTGCTTGAACAAGAGAGCTGCTGTTTTGAGGTTGCAAAAGGTAATAGGCCTAACCGCCGATATTCACACCAGCAGCACGATTGTGACTGTGTTAAAGGTGCCGCCACATTAGCGAAATTGCAGAGAAATTTTGCAGGATAAAAAGAGATATTGTTAATGTCAAAAAATAGCGACCGCTCCCATAGAAGTCACTCAGCGCGGCAAATTCACACACCCAATTTGAAAATGAGCGAAATCCTCGTGGGGAACATTCTCGCCCCTACTCAAAACTCCCAATCACGCAGATTCTTATTGGAATGTCTGGATTTTGCCTGCAAATTTCTCTGAGCAACAGTAAATGTGACCTCATCTGAACAGTTGTATAATAAACAAGAAGTCAAAGGTTACTGAAATTTAGGCAGAATTTCGTGGGCCAAAAATGTTCATTGTAAATAGTGTAGAGATGTATGAAACACAGCTTATACTAAAGTTATAGCAGTTTTATGTTGGTCAACATCAGTGTTGCCAAATCCTTGGTTTTCCCATTGAATTGGGCTACTTTTATACTATTTCTGTGGGTTTCTGCCCATTGAAGCGAAACCCCCCACCCCCTTGGAACATTTCAACCTAGGTGGAACCCCCTGGAAGGAGGTTTTGACCCCCCGGAATGCGATTTTGATAGCCAATGGGGCTGGTTTTATTATGCAGTGGCAAATTCAATGTGGCAAACTTGTGTGACCCACATGAAAATTAGCGAAATCTGTGTAGGGAAAATTTTCACTCTTATGCGAAACTCCAGACTGAACAGATTCCTATTGGATTTCACCTACAAAATTTAACAGAGCAACAGTATGAGATGAGCGAAAGCGAATTTTGCACCCCATGAAAAAGTGTGGATTCCAATTGAAACGACTGGATTTTGGCTGAAAATGTGCAGGCATACAGTATTTACCATTGTTCAGTGAATTTACAGTAATTTCAATAGGAATCCACACGGCTGGGAATTTCACACAGATTTCACTCAAGTTCAATTTGGTGATGCAAATTTGCCACAATTACCAAAAAGCAAGCTGCTTGGTTTGAAAGCAACTTCTGTGCGAGTCTTGCTTCATATGTCACTACACTATCAACAATAGACAATGGACCTTTTCTGCCTAAGGAATTTGGCTAATGTGACGCATCTTAATTTTTAGACACAATACTTTCTTTGTCTGCTTTTGCTCTGCCAAAGAACATAGTTTCAAAACACATCCACAGCAAAATCCGATATAGTACTCAGTAGGCTTGCCGCGATAGACGGTGCTGACGGTGATACCGGTGTTAAGCCGGAACACTGGTTACGTCACTTGCCCGCCGACCCCCACCGTCGTTTTGATTTTTTATAGTAATAAAAATAATTTAGTTCAGTAAAAGAACAGACACTACAATTAAAAACTGAACGCGGCTGCTCAATGCAGCATGCCAAACGACAGTCGCATCACAGATCAGATTTCATTTCTCCAGTGAGGAAAGTGAGTCGAGCTGACTGACAAGAAGAGTGGGGTGAGACAGACAAGACGATGGCGGATGATTTAGTTTCGAAACGAGATGCAAAAGCGCCTGTTTGGCAATATTTTGGATTTTGAAAAGCCTGTTGACTTTTGCCGTTTATCTAAGGTGATTTTGGAAGGTTTTTTTTTAACATTCGTTTCTTATTTAATTGGTTCCACATTGTTTGCTGATTTTTACTTTATTTAAACTTTGTGTCAACTTTGACGCCGACCTGCCGCTAATTCGAAAGTGAAAGTAAAATGCGCACGGTGCTTTTAAGCTATTTAAAATGCGAAGGAAAACGAGGAAAAGAGGGAAAATTCAAACAAACTAAAAACGAACAATTGCTTTACGCCGAATTGCCGCTATTTCAAAGTGAAAGTAAAATGTGCACGCCGCTTTTACAAGCTATTTAAAAGCCAAGGAAAGCCAGGAAAAGAGGGAACGCCCGCCCCCGCGGTGATACCGGTGTTGTCACACGTTGATTAACCGGTGGGAAAATTTCCTCACTGTCACAACCCTAGTACTCAGCAAAGTACTCAGAATGAGTGTTTTTGAACAAATTGGTGAAGTGAATAATTCAATGATTCCCTCATAGGCTGCATTCAAAAACTGAACAATGCTGCTTCCATAGGCAGCATATGGCCATGCTTTAACTAAAATCAAGAAATAAATGTAGGTTTTAGGCCATTTTCTTCATATTTTGATTAAATTTTTAACAGGAAATTTGCTTTATAGTCATTTTTCACTTAGTTATTACTAAAGCTCTTTCTATTCTTCAATGACTCATACAGTATCAATGTAAAATGAACAGTCTAACAATGATCCACATTTTTCGAATGCTGCTTGGTCAATCAGATTTGAGGAAAGGAACTAACTCAAAGTATGGTATTACCATCCGTACTACAATACTTTTTAAGGGTGGTCCGACTTCAGACATGCTGGCGCATTTATATCATAGACAACAGTTGTGCGGCTGGGTAGAGACGTGTTTATTGCTGTGTGTAAGTGTGTAACCATCTGAGAGATTTGAGGAATGCCTAACCTAACAAGCCTGCCACCAGTACCCATCATGCCCAGGCTGGTATACAGCTCTTTTGCCCACGGGAATTAACTCACATCTTCCAAATTAGCTTCATCACACACTCTTACACACATACTTCTATTAGAGTTTGTATTTTCCACACTCTCAACTGGACGGAATGACTAAATTCAAAGGAATTGTTATGTAATTTGATACCTAATGAAGGGAAACAAATGACTCATAGTTGACGGCAATGCTAACTACACCCGTCCTTCAACTTTCTCCATATTCAGAGGCTCATGAGGAGGAAGCAGGAGAAGAGGAAGAGACCACTCAGGAACATGGTGAGTCCTGTTGGTGGGACCCTCAATTTGACCTCAAACCCCACCAGATCTACATCGCCCAAATAAACGATTTGTGAATACTGACAACTTTGCCAGAAAATGTAGCAAATCATTTATAAAACTTACAATTTACAATTGAAAAGAAATGGATCATTGAATTGTTCCAATAACTTAAGCAAGCAAAGACAATTCGGAGTTCAGTTGAGAAGTGTTTTCATTAATTCATTCATTTAAATTAAATAAACTGCTAAAAATATTCAAAAAGAGATTTTGGTCAATAAACAAACCAAAAATAATAATGTGAGGAGATCATGAAGAGTTCTTTAAAAAATACTGTATGAGTAATTTAAAGTAATCAGGAATTTATCTAAAAAATTATGGCATATTCCCTTGGACTGAAAAAGAAAAAATATTTACATTAATAAAAAACACATTTAAATATGCCACTATCTTCCAAAAGCAAAACATTTACATTTAGTCATTTAGCATATAAAACCAATTTATATATTTATATTATTCCAAATAAAATAAAAGTTATGATGGACCATCATAGTAAAGCTTACTTAGCCTACTTAGCGTACTTAACTTGACAACATAAAAACTGTAGGGCCTCAAAATTTTAAAAAATTGCATTGAATTGAAAAATTTGGTATTATATTTCGAAGCAAAGAGATTTATTTTTTTTCAAAATTAATTTTATCCAGTCTCAAATCAAGTTGTTTAATGTAGTAAAATGCACTGAATCAAATTCCACTAGTTTGACCAGCCATCATAACACTTTTTAAAACGAGTTTAAGCAAATATTTAATTGAAATCTATATGAAATCTACTTTGTCCAACTTCCTGCAAACCTCTCATGTATTAATATTAAGGGTTAAACAAGACGCAGATGACTTTTTTTCAAAATATCTTATTTTCTGTTCTATAGAAGATAAAAACAAATGAATTATACATAAATTGTATGTATTGCCTGGTTAAATATATTTAATAAAGTCATACTTTTCCCCCCACTAGAATAGATTCACAAAAAACACATGCATTACCTTTCAATATATATATATTTTTTTATTATTTTTTTTTTTTTACTTTTGTATAGTTAGAAATTAATTTACAGCTGTTGCATTTCTATTTTTTTCTGTGTACATCTGTGTTTATCATTTAATTGAACTCATGACAAACACACATGGGATGAATCAAATATTCTGCTCTATGTTGAGTTGAAGTGACGAGTGTTTGGTATGTGATGGCGATTTTTCCACCATTTTTCCGTTATCAGTTTCTATTTTTATCCCTCTGTTTTCTGTGGGACTGTCAATGATGCCGAATACCCGTAACCTCCTTTCCTTTCCTTCCTTCAGATGGTGAAGAAGACACCGAAGATGGAGGAGGTATTTGCTCTTTATTGCACTGCAAAGACAGGAAAGCTGAGATTTACAGCTCTCAAGTAATTGTTTGAAACATGTAGAAACCTGTATTATGACACACACCCTTCTGGATAACTATCTCTTCAAAGCTTTAGATCATCCCAAATCCTCTTATGATAACATTCATTCCATCAGAAATAAGACAGCAGTATTTCGGTTATAATCTCGTTCCCGGATTTAATGACACATTCTTCTTCATCTGTAACCGTTGGCTATTGTGCAATAACTGCCATGAGAACACAGGGGGAAGATGTATGCAAATTAGGCTTCAGATATTTATAATCAGACACGCCTGATTGACCATATATGCAACACGTTATAGTTTTAAAAGTAAAAAGTCTTTTAAAAAGTCTCTCACATAACTTTGAATAACTTCTGTTGTTTGTATGTTTGATTCTTCAGAAGAGGCGAAACCCAAATTCCTAAAGTAAGTTTAGATTAATAGCCATTGATTGGTTTTATGTTTTTTTTTAGATCAACAACACTTGTTTTCATTTCATACAGAATTTTGAAACATCATCATTATATTTTTCAGACCATTTATGTTGCCGAACCTGGTGCCCCCAAAGATTCCAGATGGAGAAAGAGTTGATTTTGATGTGAGTAAAATTACCATACCAAGACCCACAGCGCCATGAAACTATTTTGGTTATGATGGGTCAAGACTGGCATTTGTCTTTTAATAACCATGCCATCACTTTGCCATTCTAAGCATATCTGCCATATTATTTCGGAACTGAAGTGGATTCCACATTTTATTTTCTTATTAATAATGGATGTCAAACCACGCTAGAATTTCAAGTCAACTGTATTTATATAGCGCTTTATACAAAACAGATTGTGTCAAAGCAGCTTTACAGTATTAAACCGGAAAATACTGTGTCGATAATGCAGGAGGACAATAGTAAACACAATGCAAAAATAAAAACCAGTAAAAAAAAAAATTTAATTGGATTTTTTTTTAGGATTCTGTAATGAATAGAAACTTCAAAAGAGCAGCGTCAATCAATTTAGGTCGTCATTGCTTTATTAATACAAATATTAATTCCTTCAATAATAATAATAATAATAATACAATCGGAGCCCAAAACTTTTAAATGGTGGTATTTGTCATATTACAGATAGGCCTAGGATATTATGAAATATTAGATAAAAAAAGATAACAAAATAATAATAAAAATGATATTTTATAATTAAAACAATTATCATTTAATATATTAAAACTATATTTATAATTACTGTAATGTCATTGTTTATCATTTTAAATATCTGGGGTATTTTCTAAAGCAGTTCTGCCTGGGCTCTGGTTAATTTTTTACCTAAATTTTTTTACACCAAAAACACGCACGACTGAGTTTGAAATATTAGCCCCTTTCACACAGTAATACCAGTAAATTGCTGTAAAATTATCGGAACGACTTTAGCGGTAAATACAAAAATGCACTGTTCACACAGGCAATGACGTTCTGTTTTTTTCCAGTAAAGCACCATTAACACGTCAGTTTCAAAATACCGGTAAATTCTGTGACATCATTAACCAGAAATGATCTCTAAACGGCTGCGCCTCCCGGTGTTGTGTTTGTAAACATGGAGGGGTAAACGCGGTCTGTGTTTTTGTTGATGTTTTCATTTTTGTGTCAAACGTTCAGCTGCTTTTGGCTCAGAGACATCGTATTAGACAACTTTAGAAATTTCTTTGATTTCCATAAACAGCTTCAGAATGTTATGATTGGCCCAGAGTAGACTTCTCACGTAATCTCGTTCTGCGTTCACACGGAGCACATTACCGATAATTTACTAGTAATTTACAACTTTTCATACCGTGAAATTGCCAAAACGAATGTACCAGTATTTTTGAAAAGGTCCTGGACACACATGATCTCTTAACGGTAATTAACCAGTAAAGACTGTATGTGTGAAAGGGGCTAGCTATTCTCTGATGACCCATTTACTTATTAGAGAGTAGACAGATGTTTTGAAGTCCTGAAATATCTTGACGACCGAAAACATGCATTAGAAGATTTGTAGAAACCAGCAATTCTATAAATTCAACAGAATGTTTCACTGGATACAGACATTTGGAGATGCGAATTTCTGCATGAGCTTTTGATTTATGCTTCTGTATACCTGAACTTGCACATTTTGTCAGGCAAACCGTCTCAGATACAATCTCAAAGGTCAAATGTTTTCCCCCTCAGGATATCCATCGTAAACGTATGGAGAAAGACCTGAATGAGCTCCAGACACTGATTGAAGCTCACTTTGAAAGCCGTAAGAAGGAGGAGGAGGAACTCATCAGTCTTAAAGATAGGATTGTGAGTGAGCAATGTTGTCCCATTACATCACAGCTGCTTATTACTATGTAAACATACTTATCGTAAATTAATTAATTCCTAAAGACAAAAACAGAGAAATGACAAATATGCAATCATTGGGGCAAACATGTGACCCAGAGTAAAAATATTCCAACAGGTCTATTAGTGGTCAGTTCAAGCCTGAATGAGTCTGAAAAGGACTCAACAGACAAGCGTCAAATCAATCAGCTCTGTCATTTTGAAGAATAAATGCCCCCATAAGCTCTTGTTGAGTGAGCTCTCACTGAAACTGCTGTTAAAGTTGTAATGTGTGAGTGACTCTGCAGGAGAAGCGGCGCTCCGAGCGAGCAGAGCAGCAGAGGATCCGCAGCGAACGTGAGAGGGAACGACAGAAGCGTTTGGAGGTGAGTGGAAACATTTTCTGTGACCACACACTGATGGACGCAAACTGGCATTATAGCTTTGCAAATCCTTTCCTGTTTTCAAATGTTCAGGAGGAAAGAGCTCGCAAGGAGGAAGAGGAAGCCAAAAAGAGAGCGGAGGACGACGCCAAGAAGAAGAAGACGCTCACCAGTCTGCACTTCGGTGGTTACATTCAGAAGGTCAGAGCTGAAAGACGAGACAGTATGATAAAGATCTATACATTTTTGAGTTAAGTGACAGAAATCTGACAATATTTAAAAAATAAATAAATAAAAAAAGGCCATGTCAGAGATGAAGATTCAATCTTCTACTTGACTGGGATGGCTTTTAAAATTGTATATAATTAAAAACATTTAAACCATTAGCTATGGCACTTCTGAAACATATTTCTAAAATTCACCTAAAACACAATATGCACAACTATCATAATTTACACTACTGTTCAAAAGTTTTTTTTTTTTTTTTACTTTTATTTAGGAAAAAATGCATTAAATTGATCAAAAGTCTTCACTTTGTTACAAAAAAAAAAAAAAAACTATTTAAAATAAACGATGTAAAAAAAAAAAATGACCACAGTTTCCACAAAATATTAGGCAGCACAACTGCTTTTAACATTGATAATCATTTTTCTTGAGCAGGGAATCAGCAAATAAGAATGATTTGCATTTTTTAAATATACAGACACTAAAATAGGTAAGCAGAAAATACATCATCAATATCAATGCTTTATTAAAATACATAGTCAATTAGGGCTGTCAAAATGGCTGAAAAACTAAATTCGAATTTTGTACTTAAATATTATCAATATTTGAATTTAAAAAAGGCATAATTTCAGTTAGGGTGAAGAAAAGCTTTTGGCTTCTCTTCTGAGGCCACAAGAGGGCGCATCGAACAAAATATTATGCACGTTTCTTCAAAGCATAATAAAATAACACGACTATCTTTGAAAAAAGTGCATAATGTTTAAAATAATGTTTATAAACCTTATATAATTAAAGTTGCTTAAACAATTAGAAACAAAACAGAATCATGCATGTATGTATAGTTTAATACAAAGGACCGAAAACCAATCACAAAGAGTACGTTCTTCATTAAAAAATTTGCGATGCAGTAGGATGGGGGAAAACCGCCATAAAGTCTTGAGACATGTTTTTAAAAAGTTGAACTTACATTAATTTTACATGGCTTTCTAAACATGCGGCTCTCTTGTGCGTCTCGCACAAAGTCTCGAGTGCAACAAACGGTGATAGACATCCCTCTAGAAAATGTGATAAATATGCATTCTGTGTGAACGGTTTGGTTTCGGTTTTGACGTAAACAACATCATCTCTGCATTGATGTTCTTTTTTCCCACAATATTTTGAATGAACAACGTAGCAGCGACGCATCTAGTGGGTTCAACTGGATAGGCTAACAAAAGCATTAAAATGCAATGAGACGTACATCGTCATCGCATCTCGTGCGCCACTGATAAGGCTGCCTGATGCACACCTAAAATTCGAATGCAACGTTTTTGCATTCGAATGTGGATTTTTATTTTAAATTCGACGAATATTCGAAATTCGAATTTATTTTTGACAGTCCTATTGTCAATACTGTTCTCTATGATGTTGTTTTGCAGATAGAGAGACGGAGTGGAAAGAAACAGACTGAGAGAGAGAAGAAGAAGAAGATTCTTAGTGATCGCCGCAAACCTTTGGACATCGACAATGCCAGCGACTCTGCTCTCAGGTTTGGAGAGTCATTGGAAATTTAACTAATTAATATGGCACATCAAGCACAGAGAAATGGAAACTGCCTCGTGGGCAATATAGCGCCTTTGAGCTTCGGGCGTCCCGAGTTCGAGTCCCAACTCACAGACCTTTACCGATCCCCCCAAAGGCAGAAATGCCAAAAAATGAAAATTCTGCCATTTTATTCACTTATATGTTTTTTTGATTTTGAAGAATAAGGGCAACCAAACAGTTTTAGTTACCATAAGAAAAAAAAAATCTGAATCAAATTTTTGATCGACAGAAGAATGACATGATGGTGCATGATGACAGAATTGTAATTTTTAGACGAATTATCCCTTTAAAGAGTGTTCTTAAGCACACAAGCAGTTGATTAATGTTAACTAATTCAGTAAGACTTTTTTTTAACCAGTTCTTAACTTCTGTAATATAATTCCATATACTACAATTACAAATAGTAATTAAGCAGATTCAATCATATAAAAACAATGATACTTTCTCTTTCTTTTTCATCAGGGAGAAAGCAAAGGAACTGTGGAGCTGGATGCGTCAACTAGAAGCAGAGAAGTTTGAGTTACAGTACCAGTTTACCAAACAGAAATATGAGGTAAGCTGAAGACTAAATCACTTTGAGTAGTCCTAGAACCCACAGAGTCACCATGAAATCAAAAACGACCCTGTTTTGGTCTCAATGTGTATGAATCATCACTGCATGTTATATAAGTGTAATATCTTGGTCTTCCTTACTGGCTGTGTCACTCTGTGCAGGCTATTGGTTAATGTTAAGCAGTAGTCAATTGACGCTACTATTGTCAGCACTGCAGGCTTACAGTTAAAGCAGTAAATAAATGCCAGTTTACATCAATATGATAAAGTCTGCAGCATCATATTATGTAAGTAAAATGGGTTATGTATATCATTTCATGCTGACTCTATTGAAATGATTTCAAAGAAAAGCATTCTTATCCACTTGCATCTAATGTCTTCCTGGATCTAATTATATGGAAACAAAATGAAAGTATTGCTCAGAGTTTGCACAAATAACTCATTCATCACACTCTCATTATCCTGTGTTCAGTGAGATGTTTAGTGTTTTTGATTGTGGATCTCTCTACAGATTAATGTCCTGAGGAACAGAGTCAGTGACCACCAGAAAACGTGAGTTCATCTGTGTCTGGCCAACCTGATTTCATGAGAAAGCTATTTTACGAGGTAGCGATTTCGTATTAATTCACCCAATGTGATTTGTATGGCAACGTACGACTTAAAAAAATAATAAACGCCCCTAAAATTAACCGTCAATAGGTATGTTAACATGCACTAATTTTCGTCAAACTGAATAAATTCACATACAGTTTCCATCCGCCGCGTTCAGATGTGGAGAAAGCCACCGCAATAATGTCCACGAGAATAAATGCCTTGACAACATATCTAAAAAGCTGACACTTATGTTAGACTAGGGCTGGGTGATAAAACCATAAGAATAATTATCTCTATATAATTTCCCTCTAATTATCTAATTACAGAAGTTTGAGAATGTTCAATATAATGTTTATGTACTATGCAAATATTAATAAGACACCAAAATTAAAGTCAGTTTAAGCCAAAATAATTTTGCAGGGCAATTTTATTTGCATTTTGACTGTGCTAGTGTCTATTTCATACACACAACATACATAGTTTGGCAAGTGTTTGTCAGCCCTTTCAGTCTGATTTAAATGTAATTTGGATCAAGCTCAGTTGGATCAATTGAGGAATTTACAAAAAGGCTTTTCAGTCAGACTGAGCCATCAATCCAATTATAAACTGATTATTTGGGTGCATGTAAATATAGCTATTGTGGTGTTAGCAGATTACACCAAAAAAAAACATATGCATGAGATCATACAAATTCATATGAATTACCCACCAACTCGTTAAAATGTAAAATAGTTGAATTTCATAACTAAATGTCGAGTTGCATTATTACGCAACATCTACTCATCATCAAATCTCTGCATGCAGATCAATAATCTTGGCACTCAGAAGGTTGGCAAGTTGGTGTTTGTTGTCCACTGAACTGGATCTGGCATTATTTTGGTTTTAACGCATGGGTGATTCTATAATTGGAGATGCATTTGGCACTGCAGAAAGTTAAGAAAAAAAACTTTTCACTAACAGAATTTTTTTTCAGTATCTTATTGAAAACATATTTAATTTTAATAATTCAGTGCTTGCCAAACACAAGTTACTTCCTTTATTTTTACTTTTAATGAAAAAACAAACAAATGTCTTTATGGTATTGTTTGTCAACTCTGTTACGGACAAATTAGCCAATGTGTAGAAATAACAATAAATCATAACAGGAAAAATCCTTCTCGTTTCATTAGACAAACAGTCCTTACATTCCATCACTTGAAACTTAGACAATATTTTACCTATGCATACCTTAAAAATAAAAAATTTGATAAAAAAAATACCGGTCTTCACAGAACCGTCCACTTGGAGCAAATATTTTTCATGTGAAAATGTATTATATATAATATCCAGTAAAAAAAACAAATGTTGTTGAAATATTATAAGGCTGTAAAATAATGACTTCGGACACCAAATGTACCTGCAATTATAGAATCACTCGCATACCTGCACTGTTCTCTCAGGGTTTGGTATACTGTTTTTTGTTTTGTTTACCCTGCTATACTTCCCAGAGGGCTTTCTCATTAGAACCAAACTCTGACTCATCCGCTCCTGCCTCAGGCATGTAACACGGACACAGTCTTTGTGAATGCATGTCAGAGTGACAATCCTGTCAGCTGGCAGAGCTGCTTATGCAGCAGAAAACGACTGTGGGAGCCAAAAGTAAAGCACTTGAGGGCATGGAGGTTTGGGCTGCAATCTGCAATCTGCTGCTGCAAAGTCAGCATTTACCTGTGCATGTCCAGCACTAACCTCAGCCACATGATTACTCAGTCAGCAGGGAAAGAAGATCTGTTCCAAAACCTAGTGAGCTGCCTGTTCAGACAGTATACGACACCGGTGCACTCTTAAATATGAATTCTGGCCAAATGTAAAGGTGCATTCAGTTGGCATCAGCATTGCACAATGCAGTTAAATGCTATCAGCATGAGTTATGTAAATTAGTTACACTAGTGAGATAATCAATCCCTTACCTGTAACAAAAAGAAGCAACTTGAGCGTCACTACTCAGGATTTTCGCGCACAACACTAGCGAATCTCCGACGTTCAGTCAAACACCGCCGGTGATGTCATTTCAACATGGCGAAGTGACGCGCATCTTATTTTAATAAAAAGCATTTTTTTAGAAAAGGAAAATATTATGAGCACAGTCTTCATCTCATTCTACACAATACAGATGACTCTTAACAAAAACTGTTTATTTCTTAATGTGTAAACTTTTTAAATTAGCACCAAACTACTGAATTGGCCCTGCTTACACCTGGTAAGATGCGTTTTCGTGGATCCGATCACAAGTGGACAACACTAAATACAGGTGTGAACGGGGTCTAAAACGTTTTGAGCTTGTCCACTTTCGAGCACTTCTAGACGCTCATGTGGTCGAACAGCCACCAAAGACCGCCTACTCTCTGCTCATTCTCAAACATTCATGCGTTCATTTCATTTACCATCCGTTAACCGACAAGATTAGAATATTCAATTCGATTTCAATTAAATCACAATGGATAAGTGTATGAGTGATTCTATAATTGCAGGTACATTTGGTGTCCGAAGTCATTATTTTTTTTCTGCTTTTTTCAAATGGTTATATTTTTAATTATTTTAATACTGTGTTACTCATTTATATGAATTACAAGATGTTACAGTCCATAACAATATAATATTTTTTGCAAAAAGTGTCTTAAATAGCTGAAAACCATGATTTATTGTTGTCCGAACTAGTCAGTGCATTTTTTCCGTCATGTATCATTGTGTAATCAAAATATTTTATTGTACTTTTCTTTTGGTAATATTTCATTAATTTTATTTATAAAAGCCCTAAAGAGTCATTTCCTAATTCTACAACATTATTAAAAAAAAAATAAAAAAATCTTTTTCTTATAAAAATGTGTGTCCGTAAATCTTGTCAACTCTGTTACCGTACCATACTTTGCCTTTAAATTAGTGGAATTATCTCCCACAACTATGTACATACAGGAAATGATGTCACTTTCCCTCACTGTTAAGATCTGAAGCACTGAAAAGTCTATGTGCTCTCTCTAAGAAAATATTTTAATCTAAAACGTTCTTACACCGAGTTATTTTATAAAGTGTCAAATCTGTTACCACAATATCAAAAGGAAAACAGATTTTTTTAATTGATCACACTTTGTGTTATTTAAAAGTCTTTTAATCATGATTTCATTAGTGCCATGTGCTCTTAGCATTTATGCTAGCAAGTGGAGTTTTTGGCAAAAAATAAAGAAAATTGTCAATTCTGTTACCGTCAAACTCTGTTACCAAGGTAGAGTAATGATGCTGACAATGCAGTAACAGAGTTGACAGTCCATCGGACAATTCTGTTACTTTACAATTCTGTTACTTAAAGGGTCAACTCTGTTTATGAACTATTTTCACAAAAAAACAGTAAAATTGTTGTTTAAAATCTAATAAACATTATTGATTTATTTTTACAGCCTTATAATATTTCAACAACATTTCTTTTTTTTACTGGATATTATATATAATACATTTTCACATGAAAAATATTTGCTCCAAGTGGACGGTTCTGTGAAGACCGGTATTTTTTTTATCAAATTTTTTATTTTTAAGGTATGCATAGGTAAAATATTGTCTAAGTTTCAAGTGATGGAATGTAAGGACTGTTTGTCTAATGAAACGAGAAGGATTTTTCCTGTTATGATTTATTGTTATTTCTACACATTGGCTAATTTGTCCGTAACAGAGTTGACAAACAATACCATAAAGACATCTGTTTTTTCATTAAAAGTAAAAAAAAGGAAGTAACTTGTGTTTGGCAAGCACTGAATTATTAAAATTAAATATGTTATCAATAAGATACTGGGGGGAAAAATCTATTAGTGAAGAGTTTTTTTTTCTTAAATTTCTGCAATGCCAAATGTATCTCCAATTATAGAATCACCCATATATAAACAAAAAACTTGAAGTTTAAAAGTATTTCCTACATGCAAAATGGGTTCTACTACAAATAACTAAAATAAACCAGAAAATGTATGTTTCAAAAGAGGGTTCTGGGCTGTGTGAACTCACCATGCGCAGATCCCTCCTGTATTTGTTTTTGCGGATGATGTTCCTCACGCTGGCGAGGGTGGTGCGAGAGTTCTTGTTGATGGTGATCTTCTCGTATGAGGTGGCAGGTTTACACTGACCTGAAACACATGCATGCTTTTAACTTCTAAAGAACGCCTGCAGACGTTTAAAAGCAGATTCAGAGCAGAGGCATCTAGATTAATGGCTGATTTCAGAAATAAATCACATTGCGGGTCATCCTCTTGCTTGAGACCTACAGAA